AGAGAGAGATAATATTGAAAATGTTAACATTTCAAAAATAGAGAGATAGAGTTACAACGAGCATGGAATTGAAAGATATGGAACTACAGTACTTGTATAAAGGAAATGCACGATCTTAGATGTAAATATAAAGGAGGCAAACAAAAAATATTGAGAAGGATAAAAATGTATCGGAAACAGGGAATGATGGAGATGGAGAAAGAAATGAAAGTGATAGCTAGAAAGATGGAGAGAGCAAGTGGGTTTTAGAATGACTGTAAGATGAGAAATCGCCAGCTCCAGCAATAAGGCCATTAATGGTATTGACAACTTACTGTTATGGCCTTTTTTCGGTCAGCTGATGGCATAGGAATAGAGGGCGGCAGACAGAGTATAACAGATATAAAATGAAAATGAAATATATGAAGAAATAAAGAAAACAAAAGAGACTGAGAGATAGGAAGAGAGGGGAGCGTGAAGGTAATAATAAGATGTGACTGAGGGGCCAAGAGAAAGAGAGATGGGAAGATAGACTGGGAGAGAAGAGAAGTGAGATGATGGAGAGTGGCAGAGAGACAAATGAACTGGGTGATAGAAAGAATGAGAGAGAGAGAGAGAGAGAGAGAGAGAGAGAGAGAGAGAGGGGGGGGGGGGGGGGGAGAGGGGAAGTAAGACAATGTGGCAAAGAGACAAATGAGATGGATAGACATACAGAATAAGAGAGAGAGAGAGAGACAGAGACAGAGAGACAGACGAGATGGATAGATAGACAGAATGAGAGAGAGAGAGAGATAGAGAAGCAAATGAGATGGGTAGATGGACGGAGAGAGAGATAGATGAGGATGGATTCTGAAGGCTCTTGAGTCTATTTTTAGAAGTAGAAATCTTGTTGGATTTGTTATCAGAGTAAGAAAGCTTAATGCTTGACACTCTCTCAGATAAAACTTGGACGAGTTGTATACTAATGATCCTCTTCAACATTAAACTGAGTCGACAATGAGAAAAGAAATGGGAATATCTTTATTTTGTATATGAAGCTAATAACTAAGGCTATAAAGCCCTTTCCAAGAAAAATGCTAATGCTCATTTCATTTTTCATTTTTCATTTCCTAAATCTGAGAAACATTAATCATTTGTATTATGTGATGCATTTGAAATATGTGAGAGTTCTCCCACGAAGATGATTTTTACTTGCTGCCAGAAAACCATTTAAGATTGAGAATAGATCATTCAAAACAATCCTCATGAAGTTTAATCTGAGGCTTGGTTTTCCCTAGGTACAAAAATATAAAAACCTTTTACAGAAATGACAAGTTTTATCATATAAAGTAATATCAAGTTATCTTGCTCACCATCGTGATTTATCTACGGGTAATAGAATTCCTAGTTCACAATACAAGATAAAAACCAGAGACTTTTTATATGCGAGACCCATGCTAGATGATAGCTATCCAGATTTTTCTATCTTCACTCATCATTTTCCCCCTCTCTAATGTCCCACACAGAGAACAAAGTCTCCACTAATCGCGTGATCCCCGAAAATCCACCCGTCAAAGAATGAAAGGACCGTCTCCGTTTTAACGTTGAGGGTGTGTTATTTTCATGATACGGCGAGTGACGTAGAAACAGTCCATGCAGTGGACTAGATGAAAGCATCAAAATACTAAAACTTTTGCTCCGCCCCTTGCCCCATGGATATGTAGGCTTCAGTCTACAAACTATAAATGAACTTTTCATTTACGTTCAGTAAAATAGTTATCGTTTTTTAAATCAAAGACGTAGAAGAAATATTGATTGAGACAGAAGCGTCTGCCTTTTCAGCACATATGTCCGCTTAAGGATGGATTTGTGCACCATTGCAAAACTAAAGATGTAATTTTTGATGGGTAGGCAAGTTTCTCTTTATCAATCTTATGCCTCAATCTTTTGTTAAGAATGTAGCACGATAAGTTGATTGTTATCTAATAGACAGACGCAATGTCTTGCCAAAAACCACAATTCTCCCGGTTTTGCCTCAAACCCCTTCTTCTTTGATTTGATTCTCTCTCGACTGAGTGAGGTTTACACGACCATCCGTTAACTTTAAGTTTAGGCTGTGTTCCTTAACTTCAAAGTTACCTTGTAGTTGAGAACTTTGTGGATGCACTCGTTGTTATGAAATGTTAAGTCAACTCGAAGTTAGAAACTGAGGCAGATCTCAAGGTTAGCTCCATAACTCCATTGATCTACATTTGCCACACTCAACCCAGGTGATGTAAATGGTTACCTGACAGGAATTAATTCCTTGAAATGCTAGAGCCCCGTAATGGCAGCTCAGCTAATGCCAGGGTAATAATCTCCAAGTTGGGAAGCGCTTAGAGACTAAATTGTAATTCGTGTATGTAAAAGCTGAGTATTATAACGATGAACAGTTATAACTCATAGTTATGTGCTGTTTGGATGCATGCAATAAACTTCGAGTTCATGCCACGTTTTCCCTGGCTTTCATTGTAGTTAACTTTGAATACCCATTGTTTCAAGGTCCCATGTGAACTCTCCTCGTCGTTGTTAGTAGATAGTTGTTTGTAACTTTGAGGTTTGCACAATTAAAGTTAAAAACTCCAGCACTGCCGTATGAACATAGCTATTGTCTAATAAGCTGAATGGAGTTTTGATTTCAACCAAATAGGAATCTGTGTTGAGAAGATTAGAGTTCCCTGGTGTATTAATTAAAACACAGGACGTTGTCTAATAACAATCATTTTTCTTCGTTTGAAAAAACTCATTTTTTTCCAGGATAGCTTCTCCCGACGGACTGGCTAAATTGCTCTTTTGTCTTGAATTGTTTGTCAAAAGTTGTTTGTTTAACATTTTCTTGATAATAAGTGATGTGATGAGACAAGTCCATGGTATCTATTCGTATGGAGTCTCATACATATTCTTATGGAGTTATGAATGTATAATGAATCACGTTGAAATCTAAAATCTAAATCTAAATTTCTCCTTCAACTCTTTCATGTTAGGTGCTCCAAAATATTCTATTTGTCTTTTCTTTCTCTTTCTCACCTCTCCCCTTTCTTCTCTTTCTCATTCCAACCTCTTCTCTTTTTTTTTGTATTGCTTTTTAAACATAATGTACATAGAAATTAAATGGCAATGCATTGTTTGATGTGATTAGTATACATGTACATATATCCAAGTATATGTACCTTGTAAGTTTTATTGCTTTTGTAATTCAACTTAATATTGTGTTAACCTTGATAAGGGGCCTTCTTTACAAGCACAAGTTGCTTCTTAGAGGTCCTGGCTTATTACGTATTATGTAATTATGATTTGTAATCGTTTATGATGCCAATTAAATTGAATTAAATTATTATTCTTTTTCTAAACGCCTCCACAGTGCCATGAGAATATTGCTCTCAAGACTGCCTCGCCCCTGGATCGTAGATGAAAAGAAAGATGATGGTTATACCGCCCTCCATCTCGCCGCCCTCAACAACCATGTGGAGGTCGCAGAGCTTCTTGTCAACCAGGTATGTGTACTTGCTTATTGCCAGTTGGTCTACAGCCGATTCATCTATTCCCATGTGGTCTACACCCAGCCTGTTTCCTATCCACATGATCTATTAATCATTTAATCATAGATCATAATCATCAAATGAATATAAGACCTTATGGATGGTGGACGAAATAGGCATTAGGCAAACTTGGAATTAGACTAAATGAGCAATAGACCAAATGGGTAGTAGACCTATTGGAGATTTGACCATATATGGTTATTAGACCGAATGATAAGTGGACAAAATGATTATTAGACCATGTGAAAAGTAGACGAGCTGGGTGTAGACCATATGGGATTAGACTAATTGGGAAGTGGACGAACTGGTTGAAGACCAAACAGCAATTCACCTGTGTACTGTGTGTGAGCTTGCTTTCTTTGATGTAGCCCACTTTTAAAAAAAAAACATGCAGGAAATTTGAGGTCCTTGCATTTTAAGCTTGTGGGAATGAGATAACTCGGTATATAATCATTGAGTGTATGTATAAAATCCAAGCAAAATATTGATTTGAGGTATAACTGTTATATTTTCACCAATTATCACTGTATAGTTTGTTTTTGTAAATATATGTGTGAATTGTGAATTCATTATATGTAACTCATCATTATTATCACTACAGTGTATTCTAAAATTCTAAATATTATAAGCTCTGATTATTAATTTAGGTAGAAAACAACTTTGGGGTTGAGAGCTACATGTGCATGCTATTTCTATGTTTTTTTTTAAATTTTGTTTTGTGCTATTTCAAATCATTGATTTAGCCTTTATTTTCTTCCTTTGACAGTACTCTAAACCTCAACATTCAGAGAAGATTTTTAACAAAAACAAATTTTACCCTAAATACCCCCTTTTTAGTTTTCATTTGAAAGAAGAAAAAATGATGAAAAGAGATTATTGGTTTACCCATAGGAATTGCTTGGTTATAATGTATCCACAACTGCTAACCGTAGATTATTCCATTCATAACATATTTGATAATTAGTTTTGACAAGTATTACCGGCGAATACTCAGAGCTCCTATCCCCACATTGCAGTGACTGCTAGGTAAGCAAATACGCTGCCCCCATTTTGTTAGTAAAGAGCGCAACGTTGTCGGTAGATAGCAATTGAGTGCCAAAAATAAGCCTCATGAAATGTTTCCTAGATTGAAAGTATACAAGGCCGTTTTTTTAATTTCTTTTGATATTGAAACTGGCTTTTATTTCCAGTGATGTTTTCCAACCTCCATTTTATGTTGGTGTTTAATTCAAGGTGAAGTGTGTGGTATTTTTTCCCAGTAACTCTGATATTGTGATTAATGGATGGAATATGTCAAAAGCTTAGGCTGTTCAGAGAAGCCTTTTACACACAAAAAATCACTTGTTTAAAGAAATGATTGAATTTTTTTCTCTCAACAGTTTCTATTTCACAAAACTGTACATTAAAGGTACTATGTCTCTTTTGCAGGCCAAAAAAATGAAAAGATTAAATTCCAGTGGCATT